TGATTAAATTATCGATAACAACTAATGAAGTACTGTAAAAGTAAATATGATTAAAATTCGCCCCTGCATATTTACTAAGTTTCAACTTTCATATTTACATTCTTACTGAAATCCAGATTTAAGTTTCTACATTGGACATTGTGAAAATGATGCCGGCAGAAGTTTTAAGAAAGCACTTTTCAACGCATTGGATTGGAAAATTTTTTAATTTTATTTCGATAGAACCTCTATTGAGCTATGCCAGAACTCATCACCAGTACCGAAAATTGTAAGCGTAGTATATTGGAACTATCAATATCTTATAAGAGAAGTGTAAAATTTTTTTTTGTACCATTTACTTGGGGAGAAAAGTTGCCTATGATGGAACTTATCCTGAATAGTATAAATATTTATTTTTCAGCAAGTTACATGTGGATGCTGTATAGAAAACTGTAGTAAAACCAAGAAAATTACACAGAACAGTGTTCATTGGAAAAAGGGAAGCAATGACGTCCTCCATTGCAAATAAAACTCTCTGTAATAAAGGGAAACCCTATTCCCTTCTTATTTGGGAGCATTGTTGCCTACTTAGTGCTTTTTGCACTCAATTTAGCGATTTTCTTAATTCGGAACGCGAAAATTTTTGAGTTTGGTGCTTGGTGCGTTTTTTGGTGCTTTTGTTTTTAGTTTGAAGACACCACAACTGTAAATCTGAAACAAAAACCGAAGCTAAATTTAGAGCAATTGGAAGTCTCGTAAGGAACTTTACAAAAATGGAAACAAAATCATGGCACAATGACAATCATAAGCAAAAGAGCATATGTTTGTCAAAAAAATATGTGGGAGCACTTTCAATCATGCCAGAATTACACACGGTAATTTGCCATTGCCGGCAAAAACGTCCATGTTGCTAGGACTAGGAATCGATCTTTAGACCTTTAGGTTGGGCTGAATTTGTTATAAGTATTTTTTACGAATATTACAAAAAGCATCACCATCGAATAATCGAGTAGGCACCTTTTTTTTACACAAAAAGAGTTTTTCCAGTAATGCGCCGGTGGATGCGCTCAAATAAGACACTTTAAAAGGGAAATGAAATTTGGTTATATTTCAGGTGTGAAGCGGTCGGAAAGAAAAGTTCTTTACATGCCTTTCGTTCACAAGATCATAAGAGACTACAGTGTAGATTTAAGCTTCCAAATAGTTCATGAAACTACTTGTTTTTGCTGTTAAATACTTCCATTTGATAGACAAAATTAAGCAAAACGAAGAAAAATTAATACTTAAACAGCGCAAAATTAAGCGAGAAAAGAACAAAAATGTTAAAGTCGCGTCATTTGGACGAAAATGTTTGAATTTATAGAAAACAGAAAAAAATTCGATAGCCGAGCAAGAAACATAAAGTTTTTTAAATTTGAATTGGCACACCTACAATAATATTTTTTATTCATACAAAGTCCATTATATCCTCCAATAAAAAACTTGGTTCACCTAAGGCAGTCAATATGGCGGAATTAGAGCGAGAACACCTTGTATTATTGCATCATGTATAATAACATCAAAGCTAGTATATTATTGCTTCAGCACCCTAACTGCTCTTGAAACCAATAATACAGGGATGAGCAACAATGCGAGGACCGCCTAGCAAACCATGGAGATACCGCAGTATTTTCTGGAGCTTATAGCAAGGAGCAAGTATAGCGAAAGTATAAACATTATTTGTATTCGTACAAAAAGCAATAATCTAATACCTTACACATACCGCCACATATCTACATTCATATTTGTGTATTATATTGTAAAAATGTATGCACACACATGTACGTATACTAAATCAACGCGTTGATTGAAAAATGGACTGACATTTACAAATCACTTACCTCCTTTGACTTGACAGCATAAAAAAAGCTCATAGCCCTCACGAAATGGACCGGCCATCTGAGCGATCTCCTTGCCTTGTGCATCGAAAATGCGTGGCTCCTCTGGGGGAACTGTCAACGTACGAATTAGGAAAGGAAAGGGAAGAAATGTAGAGAAGAATGATGGAAAAAGGAGTAAAATAAATGAATGTTGAAAAAGGCAATTGCCAATGAAATGCCTACTGTGTGTAAATAGTCGTACATACTATATATATGTATATGTATATACATATAGTACATACATACATATTTTTTATATGCTCTTATGCTTTACTCACCTACTAAAGTTAAATTAATTCTAAAGTTTCGTGTTGGCGAATTGAAAAAGTCTATTCTACAGCGATAAATGCCGCCATCTGTTGGCTTCACATCGCGTATTTGTAAGCGTGAGTCCTTCGGATTATCGCCAATGGAGAAGAACAAACGCTGACCCAGATCGCTAGCTATGGCCGAATGTGGTGCTAATTTGATATTTCCGCTGCGTGAATCCAAGCTGCAATAGAAAACAAAAATAATGAGATGCAAATTTGTGTTTTTTATGGGCTAAAAATTTCTGGTATTTTTTTTCCTAATTAAAAAAGTTGTTACTAATCGGTTTTATGCTTAAGGATATTTTGAATTAGTACGAAGTGTTGCCACAATGATTTTTGAATTTCTTACCAAAATTCTCAAAAAATTTGCAAAAAAAAGGTTAATTAAAATTTTGAGCTCTTTAATTAGATTTCTTAGAATCATTCAGAGTGAGAGATCAGTTTTATAGCCCGTTCAATGTGAGTATAACACAGTGCAAATTTAAAGTAGCTAAAACTATGTTCATATTACAACGTGAAATTACTTCAAATAAATCAATAGCGTTCAGACTTACTTTTATGATTTCTATATACATTTATGTGCCCGTGAATTAAAGTAGCCTAAGTCGACATAGGCAGTTTTCCCTTTAAAGCGACATTTCATTGGGTTCCCAAACAATATTTTCACTCTTCACTTTCAATAGAAGCTTTTCTAATAAAAATATACAAATTTTTAAGGGAAGCTGACTAAAAATAAATGTTGGCAGCTAAAATAAATGACAAGTCGGTTTTTTTCATCATTTGCTTTTTGATTTGTGATAAATTATCTATTTAATTTACTGACAGATTTTTCAATGCCAAATTACTTGACTTCAGTATTATTTGCTTACCAACAAAGAATGAGCCGCAAATTACAATAATGTGAACACGATTTCAGACTTACTATTGATTTTTTGTATTTTTTTTTAGGTTTTGCTTATTTGCTCCATTGAAAGGTTTCAAATTTTGATGAATAAAAATAACAACAAATAAATAAAAATAGCCCAAGCTTGCTAATATGAAGAGCTTGTATGGTTTTCTTTAACTTTAGTCTGGCGAAAAACTCAATTTGGCCACTTCTAGTCATTCTCAGGAATTGGAACTGCCTCAAGGTACATTTAAGTGTAGTTTGCATTTAGAGTTGTTCGAATAAATATTTTGTTTATACAAATATATACTTGCAAATATACTGGTCCCCGCTAACACTCAGTTATTCAACAATAGAATATTTCCGAGCGCAAAATTTCTCGACGAGCCTAAGTCATTTCCCCACCAAAATCATGCCATTTGATAACCTTTGAGCTTTTTGATTAGACCATAACCTAAAAAAAAAATTGTTTTGCGGTGCTCTAAGTTTTATGTATCGAGGTAACGACCAATAAATCCTAAAAAGTTGTCAATATTTGTCTAAAAAGATCAACCCGTTAAGACAAAAGGATTTTCTTTAAGTGTCATTTGGATTTGGTATTTATTATCGATTTTTGTGGAAGGGATCGTTCCAGTTGATTCTCACACAAAAAATAGTATATTACCAAGTTACCAAATTCGAAACCGAAACTATAGAATTACATATAAATTTTGATCAAAAATTACCAAAACGGCAACGTTGGTAGTAGCCGCTATTTTTTTGTTTCCTCCTGAAAGCGGCTAGAAAAGCTCCTGCGGAAACAGCAAACATCAAACCAGGGAAAAGCTTTTCCTTTTTCAGCAGAAGGATAAGAGAAAATGACATTTGACAGATGAAACCTAGATATGAATTTTCATCTTAACCGTGCCAAAAACACCAAATCGGGTCTCCAAAATTGTGTGAATATCGCCACCTAAGTGTTTGCGGTCTACTGACCGTAGCGACACTGATGAGTACACACACATATACATACATACATAGAAACGTACATATGTATGAATGTATGAATAATCGTCCTTTTTGTTGTCACGTCTGTTTGAACGTTTGTTCAACTGTCGCCAAACGTGAGCGTAACGAGCTAACAAGGAAAGGGAAACGAAAAGTTAACTTAGCGGCAGTGGCAGCAACAGCACAGCAACAGCAACAGCAACAGCGACAGCTTACCAACAATCGAGCGAATCGGACAGCTGTACAATAACAACGTATACACGCCTTGGCAACCAAAATGTGCACACAGCAGCACAGCTAAATGTGCTCACCACCCACCGCAAAAAGGTGCCTTAGCTTGTTGGCTGCTATTCGTGCTCAATTGGCATGCAGGTCGAGCAACAAAGTCCTCGGTTTGTAGGTGGTGCTGGCCGCAGTGATGAGTTTTCAATTTCCTTTTAAAATTTATAACTTTCATTGCAGACTTTTAACCGTTTGCGAATCCTTTTTACCAGCAGTGTGTTAATGCCGCCCCCCCCACTTCCCCTCCCTCTCCATTTCACACGTATGAAATAACTGAGCTTATAAATAACTTAGAGCACTTGTACACAGTTAGCCAATGATTAAGTGGTTTCAACTACCTGTATAGTGGTATTCCGGTGGAGTCCTTGAACCACAACAGCAGCTTCACGGAGTCCTGCGGCGTTGGAGGCGTTAAATCGCACAGCAAATCTACGCTTTTGCCAACCGCAGCCCAAACTACTCTGGCGGGTACTGCAAAGAGAATGAAGAGAAGAATCAGAATAAAATATCTCAATGAATATGTATATGAAAATAGTAAATATATATAGATGTGCAATCTCCACCAAGGATAAGCATAAAATAATTACATGTATAAATCTGTACTCGCTTGCAACAACAACCATTGCAAGTTTTTAACTGCTACTGTGACTGTCTGTATGGGAGATTACCCGTCCAACAACTACAAAGCAACAATAAATATTCTCATCGCTACTTATTACTAACATTTATTCCGTTTCCTTAACGAACTGCAGAAACTATTTCCTATTTGAACTTCCTTTTTCTTTTCACGGTTTCTTGCCTGTTTTTTTGCGCCCCCTCCCCCCGCTTAGGCCCACGCCCATCCGCTCAATTCACTTGCTTGCGTCACCGCAAAGACTAAATCTTTATCGTTTACAGAAGCAGGCTCCTTCTCACTTTACTTGCTTGCCGCTGCTGCTGCCGCTGCTGCTGCTGTTGCTGTTGTTGAAGGGCAATAATTTTGCGCTATTGATTGTTTGTATATATTTTCCTACAACTTCCGTTCTGTTTCATTGATTTCTTACTACCCTCTTCTGTGCCGAGCGTATCTGCTTTTTGAAGCACGCTTGAGTGAATGCAATTATGTACTGCTGCCTGATTTTTTTCTTTCCTTTTTCATGTACATACATACCTCCCAACCACCTCCGCTTGCTGCAATACGCGCCTGTTGTCGTCGTCGCCATGCGCCACTGCATAGTCAGCCGACCATACAAGTCTTTATTTCTTTGCCTTTTATTTCGATTTTGTTTTCTTGCTGTTTTTTATTTTTTGCTTCGAACAATTCGCTTGCTACTTAGCAGAAATTTCTTTTAGTGAATGGATTTTTATAGCTTTGCAGTTTTTTGTATTTACGAGTGTTGGAGCCTACTAGCAGAGGCACATGTGGCTATCACCACAGACTACGGCATAGTTTGCTTCCGATGTCGGTGGTTGAGGTGGCAAAATCACCCGCATCTGGCAATTTTCGGAATTTTCTGTAAACTACTATGTATGTTCACTTATAAATATTGAGCATACTTTTGAAGCAGGAAAAATTCAATTTCAATTAGGCTTAAGTGCCTAGCGTTTCCAGATGTTGAATCCTTGCCTTAGCACCAATTTTCAACGTTCAATTGTATCAATTGGAAAATTTTCCATCTTGGTCCTTGCCAAAAGATTCAACAATAAAGACGAACTTTACCTTTCTGAAACTTGGAATTTTATGAAATTCTTAGAATTTTTTACTTATTTGTGCTCCAAAGTTTTGCGGAACCTTCTGCTTCAACTGCCTGGTGGTCCAAACTGGATGGTTTTTTTTTTAATGTTTACAATGTTTTTAAAGCGAAAGATTTTTTTATTTTTTTTTTTTTCATATTAAAACTGCAATTTATAAAAACTGGCATTGATTTTTTAAAATTCTTTTCGCAAACGTTCGTGCGCATTTTCTTCTGCAAGGAATTCATTTTTATATGGAAAAAGTGTTATCGCGGTAAAAAAAAAAATCAAGGCAATATTTAGCCGCTAAAAAAACTTGCACTTATTTTATTAAAATGTCATAAACCTTGTAACTGCACACCCAAAAATTTTGTAAAAATTCTTACTAAAAAGCTCATAATTTTAATGCAAATTTCTGGAATTTTTTTAAATCTGTATAAGGTACAAAAGTATAATTTATGCTAAGAATGCCACTTAATGTCGATATTCGACAGTTTTTCTAGTTTGTAAGATCCGTGGAGAGGTTTTATAACTTACCACGTGGTTTAACCTATAACTGCTTTGGAACTAAAAAGTAACTCAAACTTTTAATATATTCGCAGGTCTTTCGGAGAAACTGGAGGTGATCCGATACATTCCAGTATGTCGATAAATTTTGATAATTTTATATGACTAAATAACTCCATGAATCTCAAAAACACTGAAATCAGATGATTCAGAAAAATTCGATGACTACTAATTTCGATAACTGTGCGCTTAGAAGGCTCGATAAATTTCGATAACCCAAAAATTAAAATTTGTCACGATATAAATCTATAGCTCGATAAACTTCGGGCACCTGTATCAACTCCGATAAGTCGTTTAATTTTGTTAGCTCCATATTTCTCGAAGCATTACGATAAATCGATTGATTTCATTAACTATATAAATAACGATAATTCTATACATATCGATAACTTGATAAATTTTATTAACTTGACAAATTTTGTGAGTCTCATAAATATTTATCGCTCGATACCTATCCTTAAATTTCCACAACTAAATAATTCTCTGTGTTTAAAAATTTCGACAACTTAATAAACATTGATCAATTTCAATAAATAGATACGTTACTATATCTCAAGACATGCATAACTCGATAAATTTCGATAGCTATAAACTTCGTTGACTCGATAAATTTCGCTAACTTGATCACTTTCGATAACTAATTTTTTTATGACTGAATTTATTTTAAACTTTTTGAGTAATCGTCATGCAGGTTTAGAGTAAGAGAATATATCGGAGTGATCCCATCGAAGCTTACTCTCTTCCTGCTGTGACGCAAGGCTATACACGGATTGGTTACCGAATCTCGCACATGAATTTTCTGCTAAGCGAAAGGAGTTAAAGTAATGCGTGAGAGACAAACATACATAAGCTGCCACATGCTATATAAATTTAGGAAAATTTTTTGTTTTCAATGAATTTTTCTCGTTTTTATTAAACTTTTCGTTGAACTCGCCAAAAGGCGGGACTGGGTATTGCTCGTTTTTGTATACAGAATTTCATTTTATATGGTACCCGACTCAAGCATATTTAAAAAAACAATTGTTTTCTTGTCTTTAAATAATTTATTGCTGGAAATTTTATTGCTAATGGCAAACGTGTTTTACTTTGTTGATTAGATACTTAAGTATGCTAAAAGCTTAGTAAATAATCTTTAGGGCTCTATGTGATTACCTAAAAAGAAATTTAAATTACGCTATCCCTCAACAGTTTCTAGCCATGCAAATGAGACGAGACTAAGCCTAAAGCAATGCTTTTATATGAGCCATATAGTATGTACACTACATACTACACATATATACAATGTATATTACACATAGTACTTCGTACTTGCATAAAGAGAATAATAAAAAGTCATATAAGTGTCTGCATGTCTTCGCTAAGCACCCACCGAACTAAATTAAAGTTAGAAGCCTTAAAAATCGCGCGGAAAAAGTTTTTCTAGAAAGGCAATGTAATTAGAAGCCACACTAAAATAAGCACGGCGTCCACCTACGCACAAAAGCGGCTGCTGGTGACACAGATTTCATTTTCTCCAGTGGTGGACAAACTTAAAGAAAAGTCATTTTCAATTAACATAAATCGTGGCTTTCCAAAAATATTCAGCTTTGATTGTTGTACAAAAAAAAAAATACGCTGACAAGTCAGAGGACGCCCTTCATATGCAGATACAAATGCTCAATGGAAATAAAGAACAAGCCGAAGCACGTCAACAACAGCAAAAACAACGATAATAAAAGGAAAAGTCATAAAATTAGACTCAACCAATAATTTCATGTTTTAATTTATGAAAAAATGAAATGCAAAAAGCTTTTGAAGCAACTCATCTTCACGTTGTGTCACATTTCCACCTCGCCTCGCACAAAAGGCCAGGAGCTTCCCTACAGGAAATCTACCTAACTATAATTGTACTTGAAGTTGTTTAGGAACAAAGTAAAGGCCACTATTATTTTGTATATTTCCTTTGAGGAAAGCTAACTACATTTGTATGGCGGTGGCGACGAAGTATTCAGTGTTCTGCATTTAATGTAACTAACCACTTTTGGACAAAAAAGATCAATAGAAAGAACAACAATTTTTTGTATTTTTTTTACTTTTTTATTTACTTATTTATTTGCGTTATTTTATTACATTTCGTATATGTTTACACATTCTGCCGTAGGTGGTTCCATATTCGAACTCCGCCAGACATAACCTCAAAATGATAATATGAAATTTCGATCTCCCTTTTATTTGTACTCAATTCGAAAAAGTATTTGCGAAGTGCAGGATATTTAAATAGAAACGCGTTTAAAGAAAACAATCTCAAGCTTTACTCCTGCATTACTTGTCAACTAGTTTCAAGTTAGCTTTATGTAGCTAACTACAAGTTATATATTTTATAGAAATCCCGCAAAAACGACTAACCACAAGAGGAGTAATTTTTTTTTTAATTGATAGTTTTTCTGCAGGGTTGTGACAGCGCGCAGAACATGTTACAAATATATATATATTTACATTTTCCCCCTCAATCTAAACTCTTAGGAATTTATGTATTTTGTGCTATTGTCGGCATGATATTTTTAGCTGCTAGCAGTAATAGTGGAATTGAAATTTTTCAAAATGATTTAGTTCTTTTTTATGATTGCTTTTGAAATACAAAGAAAATACATAATTTTCTAAAAATAACGCTCGAGCGTACGCTCCAAGGTGGGGCTATGTAGATACTACGAGTATGAATTATGTATGTATGTATGTATGCCATGCGTGTTGTTAGCTGAAGCGTGGCAGTGTTGACAGTGTTGTCAGTTGCACGGCTGCACTGCATTTAGCTGCCACAATAGTGCTCCCTACACTACTATTCAACGCTCAGCATGCATTACTATTGTAATTGAAGAGAATGAATGAATGTCAGAGCTGGGCGAGCTTTTGTTTCGAGTAAAATGTTGTAAGAGGAAATGCATTTTCCGCTGCTTAAGCAATTCCAGCTGCACAATTTACACAACTTAAGTGCTAAAGCAGTTTCATTTATCTTTACATATTTATTCTCCCTACCTCTTTTGTTTATATTCAATTTGTTAATTAAAGTATTAAGCAACATCTTTTGTTCTTTGACGCTGCAGCGCCGAAGGCTACCCCACATTGAAAGATTATCTCTTCTTCGCCTCGTTGCAATTAAATAAAATTGATGAGTTAAATCTCTGGCACTTTCATATTTTTCGTCTCAATATATATGTACATAAATGTGCTAAAGTGGATGGGTTTGATGGAATTGTTTATTGTTGGTAATGCGGCTAATGAAGTGCAAAGGCGAGAAGAGTGTCGAAATGTGAGATGAATTAGTACTTATAATTAGTATTGCTTTCAAAAATATTGAAATAAAGGGGAAAAGTTTTTATTTTACACAACCAATTCAACTCTAACCCCATCCCCAACCTTTTGTATTAAATTTTTGTTAATAATCTGGGTTTCTTGTAAAGTGATAAATGCAATTTAATGTTTTAGGGTGCAGGCACCTTTAGTTGCTCAGATGTTTGAGTAGCAGGCTTACGCTCGAATATTACAAAATTTATGAACATATTTTGACTATGTGCTGAATTCGGAGCCTTTTATTCACAATAAATCTAGAAGGTTTAGAGAGCACTATAAAGTGCCATTTTTATACAAAAATTTTCTTGAGATAGGGCGTTTTCGAACTGGCTGCCGAGATAGGTCGTTCTTCCACTCAGCAGTCGATATGTGTTGTAGCTTTTTGGGGCACTGTTATGATCACAGTTCTTAAAAAATTTTCAGCATGGCTTTAACATACCAAAGGGCGGTAAAAACTGTACCAAGCATTTTTTGGCGAGCTGTGTCTCTGCATTGTTTTAAACACCGAACTTTACCTCCTCCTTACAGCCTCCTTAGGCTGGTTTTCAGAAAAGAAAGCGCAAACGATGGATCTTGCTTATGTCAACGCAAATGACACCTGTCAGCAGACTGAAAATCGTTAGAAAAGGCAACGCAGAGTCGCATTCGCGCATAAAACCGCGCTGTTGTGAATTTTCTTCCATATAGACGGTTTCACACTGGAACATTTCTGCCAGCCGAACAACTCGGTTTGTAGACAAGACAGGCAGTGCAGTGAGGTAAAGTTTCTCAAAAAGTTGTTCCAGCTTCTATCCCGCATTAAAGTGGCACTCCTGCCGCAGCGCCCAAACACATTAGAAACTACGAAAATGCCGCTAGGCAATTTTTAAGTGCAAAAGTTACAAATACATTCAAACGTCCAATAGGTGAACATATTTTGTTCCTCTGCTAGTTTTCATGCAATGTGAAACCGTTATAATAATTGTTCTGTCATTCTAGTGTGAAACAGCCCTATGAAGTGTGCATTTACGGCTTGACATTTATATAATATACTTGTACATACATGTGTACATATGTAGGTAAACTGTTCACTTTCAGTAAAATATAAAAAATAGCT